AAAAAAAAAACGGGAAACGTTGCTCGGGAAGGCTTCCCCTAGTAGGATGCCTAACCCGGACTCCCTTGCGTCCGCCGACGGGACAAGGGCACTACAAACGGGCTTGTGATAAAGGAAGCCCAGTCACGTTCATAGCTCGGCTGGGCGGCATGGTCAGTCGTGGCTCCTCCTTAAGGAAGGGCAATCAAGAAACAGGGATAGGAAAGGAGACTATAAAGATAAGCCAACAGAGCTAGGGGCCTAGGGAACCTAAAAACCTCGCATTGCGTGTGTCCTGGGAATTCTTTGGCTTATGCAGAACTAGGCAAAATGGCAACGAAGGAGGAGACAGATAATCATAAGAGTGAAGGGGAACCAGGCTTAGGAGGCAGTGTCGCACAAAGCGAAGGGGGGCAGAAGGACAGAGAATCGATAAATCCGAATGGTACCAAAGGAAACCGAAAGGAGATCTCCACAGGGGAAAGCTCGGGGAAAGCTGGGGGAAGCAGGCAAGGGACTCAGGGGACCAAGGAGGGCAAAAATAAGGATAGGACAAGCCCCGGGAACTCGGAAGGTGCTGTGTCTAAGAAAGTAAGGGTCACGGATACGAGGCGCAAACTAGCCGAGATAGACAAAAGGACCGCGGAGTACAAGGCAAGATTGATTGAGGAAATGATGACTGGGAACGAAGAAGGCTCTCTGCAGAAGGAGCCCCGGGACGAACGGAGAACCGGCCGAGGTGGGACTGGACAAGGGGGTAACGGTAGTGACCGTGGGGGAACGCCGAGCAAAAGAAGGAAAGAGGGGGAGAACTCTCCGGATGGACGCGAAAAAGGCTACGACCCCGCCAGCCATAGATAGTAGGGCTAGCCGCCTGCCGACCACGCCAACGGTGACACGAGGGTGCGAAGGACTCTGGAGCCTTAGGGAAAGAGTGTTGGGATGGTTTGACCCGGAAGGAACTACGAAAACCAGGGAGGGATAGAAGGCCGGCAAAAAAGGTCTGGATAACAGTGTGACAGGCGAGGCCAGCAGCTCCGAGGGCGGCCTTAAGAAGATAGTATTGTCCCTGCCGTGAGCACTAAACAAAAATCAAGGCTACCTAGCGGATGCTAAGAAAAAGTTGACGTTTGATGGGGCGAACATCACACAATTCCTGATAGATTACGAGAATCTGGCTGCGTTGTTGAAATGGACCGAAGAGGAGAAGATGGACCACCTGGGACAGCATGTGTCTTTGAGCCTAGGACGTGACATAATGGCCATCGTGGCCGCGAGCCGGTCTTGGAAAGAAACCCGGGATGTGATGATGAGAAAGTACCTGGCAGCAGAGAAGATGGGAACGGAGGCCGATTTAGCGACAGTCCAGAGAAAGAACTTCGCGACGTACAATGACTTCCTACGAGAATTTACTTTGGTAGCACTAAGAATCCCCGGGGTTACGGACCGAATAATGAGTAAGTACTTCCTCAGACAGTTCTCCAAGTTCGACAAGGACAAGATCCTGTCAGCTTACCAACAAACGAGCAAATTTATAAACACTAGGGATGTTGATTTCAGTACGGTAACGGATCTGGCCGAAAAGACGGTAGTGACCGAGACATTGGCCTTGCTTAAGGAAGGTGAGGTCATAGATTTGACCAGTAGGACGGGTGACAAGGTGAAAAAGGGGATTGAAAGCCTACACGAACGGGTGCACGGAGTCGACAACAAGATTGAAAGGATGGAGAGCGCGCTACTAGTTATACAGGCGCAAGTATCCCGGCCCCCCCTACCGCCCCAGGAAGCAGTAGTTCCGCCAGGGGTGGCCAATCGTGGGTTCGGACGGAGAGACCCCGCTAACGAGCAATGCAAGTACTGTACCGAGATAGGACATTATGTGCGCGCGTGCCCAAAGCTCAACCATGATATTCTGAAAAGAAGGTGTCCCAGGTCGTTAAAGGGGGAGATATTTGGACCACAAGGGGAACGGGTGAACTGAAACTCGCCAGGAGGGATGCGGCGAGCCATTATCATGCTCAACGGGCTAAAAATAACAGTCGTAGAAGCCGAACCGGTGGGCGACATCATCTGGGATCAACGCCAGGGGCGCGGGCCGCATGTCAATTTTATTTTGGAAAACGACGGACGTGATAGGGTGAACGCGACTACTCGGCTAGGAACGGCTGTGAGAAGGATTAACCGCGACACCGTGATGGAGGAGGTTGCTGGAAGTTCGGAACCCCAGGCAGAGCCTAAGGCCGAGGAACCGGAGAAGGTCTATGGGAAACCCAGGGAAGAGGAGCCTACCGACAAAGTTACCGCTGCCAAGAAGAAGTTTAGGTACCAAATCCCGATCTTATCCTTGCCGGAAATCGACGACACCATTAGCAAGTTACTAGGAACCATGGTGTCGGTGTCTTTTCAGACTATGCTGCAGGCTAGCCCTAGGTTGCTCAAAGGGCTTAGACAACTGTTGACCCGGCGGCGAGTAGAAATAGGCGACAACCCCGAGTTACCAGAAGGGGAGAGGGAGGAGGAGGTTCCGCAAGAAGTGGCTAACCAGCAGAGGAGTCGCGGGGACTTGGAGGATCTCGAGAACGCTTTTGCGGACATTCGTTTGAGTTTGCCCGACCGAGAGGGCGGCGAGGTCATGAGGTCACCACACGGGACAAAGCTTAGCTTTCATGCATTGCCCGTAGGAAAGCTGAAAATCCAGATCGGGACTCGTCATACCAATGCATTAGTAGACGAGGGAGCAGAAATCACTCTCATAAGAAGAGATTTCGCAACGATCACGGGGTGTACGGTAAACAAGGAAGTAACGGGAAGCATCCGGGGGGCTGGCGGGGAAATACTGTTCGCTGGGTACGTCACGAAGTGTGCTGTAAAGGTAGGGGTCAGGGAGTCGATTGGGTCGTTTCAGCGGATGACCGTAATGGAGGGAATGGACCACGACATAATCCTCGCAAGACCGTGGTGCGCGAACGTGGAGATGATAGGCATGCACTTGCACGATGGCTCATACATGGTAGACATAGAGGACCCTGTGACTGGCCGGGGAACGCTCCTCCGACTCCTTGGAACGGGAGGCCCCGAAAGGGGAAATTGGCAACATGGTCGCCGTCGTTCGAAGATAGCACGCGGAAAGGGGCTTTCGCACGGGTGGAGGGTATGAGAGAAAGGGTAGAAATCATGATTGAGGAAGCATTCAACAAGAAGGAGTGGATCAAGATGGGCCCGCCCCAGAAGAAGAGGAGGCAGGAGGACGAAGCCCTTAGTGTGTTATGGTAGCGGAAAAGGAGTCAGAGGTCGAACTTGGTGCTAGCCTGCCCAAACGGAAAGAAGTACGCATAGACGTGCCGAGAATTGCACTCGAGATCCCCGATCTATTGCAACTCATCAAGGCCCTCAGATACCACAAGGTAGGAGTGGATTCGGCAGCCTTGGCCAAGTTCGAAAGAGAGGTGCAAAAGGGATATTGCCTGAATGGGAAACTAGTTAGTATTCAACCACGAGTCGAAGAGGCGACGGGGGCAATTCCGGCTGTTCATTTTTTAGGAGAAAGATCCCGGAAGGAAGTGTTCGAAAGTACAAGCCGATAGGGAAGAAAGCAAAACCGGTCTCGATCCTGCTAGAGACATCAAAGGAAGAGGCATGGAGAAGGAGGAAGAGGTCCTTCGAGTGATCCAAGAAAGAAGGGCGACGGAGGGACATCGGATACCAGATAAGGTAGCAGACACAATGAAGATAGGGATAGACGGGTTCTTAACGGGAGAAGAAACCTGCCTGATCAAAAGGACCTGCCAGGATTTCACCTGGCATTTGCCTTTAGTGATCACCAGAAGGCACGACTGGATGCGAAGTTGATCCCTCCGGTTAGAATCCACACGGTAGAACATGAGTGCTGGAATGACAAGGGGCCATCCTATGAATTTGGGATAGCAGGAGAAGTAAGAGACCTCGTCCGAGCGAAGACGGACTCCTTCGTTGCGGAGCCTACGACATCGTCATACGCAAATCGGTGGTTCGTCTTTCGGAAGCCTAACAAGACACTAAGGTGGATTCAGGACCTGCAGAAGTTGAATGCGGTAACCATCCGGGATGCTGGCTCGCTACCTCAGGCTGACTTATTAGCAGAATCGCACGCCGGCCGGAGCATTTACTCCCTGATAGATCTGTACTCAGGGTGCGACCAGCTTCCATTGGATATTCGGGACAGGCCATACACCGCTATGCACACCCCCGTAGGCCAGCTACAGATGCAAGTGACACCTATGGGATTCACAAACGCGGTGGCCGAAACGCAACGCAGGATGCTCGCCGTGGCCGAAGGACATGTTCCCAGAAAACTGTGAACCTTACATCGATGACAATCCGATCAAAGGCGCGCAGGAGAAGGATGAGACGGAAGTCCATCAAGGGATCCGACGTTTTGTGTGGGACCACCTGCAGGACATCAAGGACTTACTCCGACGGTTCCTAGTATACAGCATTACGGCTAGTGGACCGAAGAGTATCCTAGCAGTACCGGAGGTAACTATACTAGGATTTCGTTGCGGAGCTTACGGCAGGAAGCCGGACCCGGCAAAAACCGACAAGATATCACAATGGCCGACACCGTTGCGCACGACAACGGAGGTAAGGGCATTCCTAGGCGTAGTCGGCTTTTGGAGGATCTTCATTAAGAACTTTGCCAAAATTGTTGAGCCTATCCGGGCTATGATCAGGGAAGAAGAAGCCATGGATTGGACGGAGGAGCGAGGAGCTGTCCAAAGGCTCAAGGACATATTGACATCTGAGACAGTCGCCCTGTCCGCGCCTTGTTTTAATGACGAAGTGGGACGACCCTTCGTCCTAGAGACGGATGGAGGACCTTTGGTCGTAGGAGGTGTGTTGATTCAAAGGGATGAGGGAGGAAAAGAGAGGCCGATTAGGTTCGAAAGTAGAACCCTGAACTCCGCAGAACGGCGGTACTCGCAATTCAAGAAGGAAGTCCTAGCCATCCTGCATTGCCTTAAGACCTTCCAGGCCTACCTATTCGGGAGGCGGTTCATCTTAAGGATCGATCCGTCGAATGTCACAGGGGCTCTAAAGAATTACAGGCCTATAGATCCGACGTTAGGGAGATGGGTAGGATTCATCTGGCAATTCGATTACAAGATCGAACGGATTGCTGGAATCCGCAACAAGGCAGATGGGTTGAGTCGGGTTTGCATCACTCCCGAAGGGATGGAGGATGCAGAGCCCATAGACGCCTTCCTCAAATACGAAGGAGGGACTCTCGCGGTGGATAACGAAATGATGAGCGAGGGATGCATATCGGGAGAACTATTGATCCTGACTTTGGAGAAGGGAGCACCTGCCATAGTAGCAGAACTTAGAGAAGGACCAGTTACCACTCGGGGACGCAGAGAAGAAAAAGACTCATGGGGAGCGATGGTAGGACCGAAAGAGGAACTAATGGCAATGGCGGTCGAGGGAGGCCGGGAGGCAGTGATGAGCTTAGTGGAATCTTGGGAAAGGAAAGAGTTGCAATGGGTGGTAAACCAGATGCAGGAAGGAAAGGATGGCGGCCAGGAAGGAGAGGAGTTTTTCTATGTCCAATCATACGGAGGGTTCTTTCGGGAGATCAGGTTGTTGTTGGTAGGAAACAAACAACCTACGGAAGTCAGTATTAAAGCAAGAGAAAAAGCCGAAAGGTACGTCCTAAGGGGCGGGCATTTGTTCCGAAGGGAGGAAGGTGCTGTGCCCAGAAGGGTTGTGTGCGGAAGATCTAGGCAAGTAGACGTTATCCAGGCAATGCACGACGGGCTAGCTGGAGGTCATCGGTCGTCCAAAGGAACACTTGCAAAGATAACACCGCTCTATTATTGGCTAGGCATGGCAGGCATGATCGCCATATACTGCCAGACTTGCCTTATTTGCCAAGAACGAAGCTCGATGCGGGTCTTCGAGCCGCTTAGACCAACGCGGGTGCTAGGGCCGGGACATCTGGTCCACCTCGACCTTGCGGTCATGCCTGTATCAACGGATGGGTACAGGTATATCCTGGATGCGCGAGACAACTTGAGTGGGTTCGTGGAGGCAGTCGCCCTCAAAAAAAAGATAGGGAGGAGTGTGGCGGACTGGATAGAAGACTTATACTTAAGGCATCCGTTCGTCAGGAGGTTTATAGCAGACAATGGGACGGACTTTGTGAACCAAGAAGTATTGGGGGATGCTTAAGAGACTCTGCGTTCCAATCAAACTCATCGAGCCGTATCACCCTGAGGCCAATGCACCTGTGGAAAGGGGGCACCGAACCTTGAAGAACACGATTGCAAAGCTCGCAGCAGACCATCTGGGGAACTGGCCTAGGTATCTTAAGCAGGCTGTCTTTGCAGAGAATATGACTCCTAAGAGGACAACGGCATGTATCCCGGCAGAGCTTTGGTACGGAAGAGAGATCGACTTTCCTGTGGAAGCCTTGGTACCTCTACCTGGAATAGGTTAGATGATGATCCGCAAATGACCACTGAAGAGTTAATCGAGGCAAGATGTCAACAAATCCTTAAGAATGAGGAGGTCGTGGAAGACATCGCCAGTCGGGTGCTGGACAGCAGAATGAGGGACCAGGTTAAGAATGTCAGAAAGGAACCACTTCAGGTGGGGGAGATGGTATTGCTAAGGAACTCGGCACTAGAAAGTACCTGGTCGGGACAGTTGGGAAGGAGGTTCAAAGGGCCCTACCGCGTCGCCAAGCGGGTGGGACTAAACACCTTCGAACTGGAAGAGTTGGATGGAACTGGATTGAAAGGGCCCTTCCCGGGGCAACGACTGGTCAGGTTTCTAAGTCGGGACCCAGTGGAACAATGGCTTCAGGAGGCCGAAGATAAGGAAACAGAGGGGCCACAAGCTAAAGACTGACCACAACCTTGCCCACACTATGGTTTGTCTCTGACCATGATCGTGGGACTGTCATTTTTTTTGGGACTGGCGCTTTGGCTTGGACTGACTGAGGTTGAAAGGCAGCATGACTTGGGGGTTTGCAATATCTGGCTTGTGTGACAACGGGAAGGGATGTTTGGGGCATTGTACCATAGTTTTTGACGGAAAAAGAAAAAATTGCGTCATCACAAACGACGCATTCGCATGTATAAAAGGGGCGTGATGCGAGGGATACTGGGTGCATTTTGGGAATGTCTACCGGCCTAAGGGGGGGGGGGAGGCGCGAGTGTGTGAGGGACATTGCGGATGTTGTTTTGTTATACAGGGCTTAAAAGTAAAACGAGAAAAGACAAAAAAATAAAATTCGGCAACGAGAACGACAGCGGGGCAATCAACAGGCCTACCGGAGGGGAAGAAGCTGGACCAAGCCAAGCGAGGAGGACAACGAAGAGAAAATTGTACATTGGGCTCATGGGCGGGCCAGTGGTAGGCAGGGGTGGAAGGAAATGCTTGTGTAGGAAACCCTCACCCCTCCGCAAGGGAGAAGGTATAGAAATATCATCTGCCAGTGAGGGCGAAAAAGGAGGGGCAAATGTGGAAGAAGGAGGCAACACAAAAATGGGAGATAAGGCTCGGGTCTCTAGCGAGGAAGGGGCCAACAGGGGCGAATGACGTGAGACTTGGCATGGGGAAAGCGAGGGGGGACAAGGTATGCGCGACGAACGTGAGGAGGATGAGGAGAAAAATGAGAGCTCGCCTGAAGGACGAAGCGGTCACGACAATTGCGAGGGGTATGGGACGGGGACAGAGATCCCTTTTACCTACGATCCAAAGAACCTTGCTGGTGGGTATAGCCTCATACAGACTGAAGACGAGGGGGACAAAGAGGAGGATGTGCGAGAAGTTATAGAAATCAGCAGCGGGGATGAGAGGGATGAGATCTCAAGGCCTAGGGAAGAGGGGCGGCCTCCGATGCACCAGCCGGGCGACGGGGCTTTTAGATGGGAGGACGAGTTCGGACCAACGCCCAGTCATTGGTTTCAGCAATGGACCAATGTAATCAGGCACGAATGGATTATCAAGACTCGGGAACTCGCAAGGGCAGGGGTGGAAGCCACACCACTGGATTTTTTTAACGAGGCAGAGTTGCATAAAATTGTAAGGATGAAAAGAGAGATCGGGACCTACGGCCTGGGGGTAAGGAAGCCTACCAAGGAACGGGGTGGACAAGGAACTGGGCAAGACGAGGCGCAAGGCAGCAATAGGAACTAGGTGTTGACTTAGCATTGAAAAGGATCGTTGCTTTTCCGTCTGTAGAGATATGAGAATGACGAGAACGTGTATAGTATGGGCAAGCTTGCTAAGGATGAAGTGAAAAAAGGGTCAACTAAGACTGTGTCACGATAAGATAGAAGATAGTTTTTTAGGTTACTTTTTGGCTGAGCTACCTTGGGTACATAAGACAAAGACATGGGATTTGGGATGAGACCAATGGGGAGAGGGTGTATTGTGAATTCTGGATGGAATAAGGGTTATGCTTTTGAGCGGGGAAAACCTTGAGTACGGATTGACGAGCAAATCATGGCATTGAATGATTGGTCGAGCACAAGAGAGGTTAGGGAACCTATGGGTGAAGGGGCGTGAAGAACACTCCTTCCCTAGGAGCCTAATCCAACTGAGTCATGAATGAGACTGAGAATAGCCGAAACCTGAGTGATCAGGAAGAGTGAAACTGGAAGGGGCGTCTTTGTCATTTGTTATGGATGAACGGTCGGGTGGGCTAGTGCTACTTGGAGTCGCAAGCACCAACTCGAGTGCTAGATGCTAGGTCAGATGTATGCATGGATGGTACATTACTATGAGAAATGGAATGGGTAGTACATTACTGTGAGAAATGGAATGGATGGTACATTACTGTGAGAAATGGAATGGATGGTACATTACTATGAGAAATGAAATGGATGGTACATTATTGTGGGAAAGAGAACAACACGCAAAAAAATGAGAAGGCCACCTTCTAACCTCCAAAACTGAAATGGGATCCGTAACCTCGAGGCCCACTTGAGAATGGAAAGGAATGGCCCTAACCAGGCTGTTCGACTTGAGAATGGAAATGAATGGCCCTAACCAGGCTGTTCGACTTGAGAATGGAAAAGAACGACCCTAACCAGGTTGTTCAGGAATGGCCCCTGACAAAGGTCATTCCTTTTGAAATAGGCACTGGGGTCCCCTGCATATTGGATTGAGAAAGGTTGATTGAGAAAGGTTGATTGAGAATGTGCTGGAATGAGCGATAAGATGGAAAAGGGCCGATCGGTCGGTCATTGAAATAGCCAGAGGATGGATGGAAGGAATGGAAAAGGCCGGTGGGTCGGTCATTGAAATAGCCAGAGGATGGATGGAAGAAATGGAAAAGGCCGGTGGGTCGGTCATTGAAATAGCCAATGGAATGGAAGAAATGGAAAGGGCCGGTGGGTCGGTCATTGAAATAGCCAAAGGGATGGACGGAAGAGATGGAAAAGGCCGGTGGGTCGGCCGCTGGAATAGCCAAGGGGGTGGAAGGAAGATGTGAATGAGAGGGACAGGATAAAGAAGATGGGGCCTTAAAGACGAGAAGGGCAGGGACCGTTGGGACGGTCACAGAGATTGGGTGTTGAGAAATGAGAAAATTGAGGATTGAGTGGACGAAAGGGTCAGTCCTGAGAATGACTATTGAGAGAATGACCGCCAGACTGGCCATGTGGGTGGCCTTGTTGATGAGAGTCTATCGGACCAGCCATGAGAATCAGCCTTCGAAATAGCATTGGATTGAATGATTGGGAATTGAATATTGCATTGCATAGTCAGGGGACCCTAGGCAACTTGAAATGGACTTGGAAATAGCCTTGAAATGGATTTTCTCTTTCTCTAGTCTTTGGCCTCAGCAGGAGGGGGATACCGGTGCTCGCACCGCGACCCCAAGACCTCTATCCCTGTTAGGGAAAAAGTCTCAGCGCGACCTGTTCCTCTTGTAAGAGGATGAGGGTTAAAGGACCAAGGCACCTATCGCTTGGATCGGTGCGGGACGTCCGTAACTGACCTCGACAACGAGCTTTAGTCGGGAAGTTCAAATTGCGCCTCGTGTTGAACGCCTAAACGTCAAAGGGTGAAGGAACCAAATGGGCGAGAGAGCCATTTTTTTTTTTCTAGTCTCTTTTGTTCCCCCCAACCACACGCCATGTCGTTGAGGGGCGGCATGGCCGCTTGGAATGGACCACGGCGGCTCGCGTTAAGTTGAGCAGCACTGTCCAAAGGGAGGAGTTGRGCGTGGTACCGGGTGGAAGCCACAACCACCACGGGGCATTGACACCGCCCCGCCGGAGCATTACAACCACTTCGGGACTAATTGCGAGGTCTTCGTAACTGCACTCGTGGAAAAATTGAGAGCCCCAACTCTCTTGAAAGGAAGAGGCCGGATCCAAATAATTACCACTCGGGAGGAACGGTTCGCGAGGAAGCCCTTACGACAAGACGGGGTCCTGGGAGGCTTGGACTGGACCTGCCTTCCAGATGTGAGGAGGTACCTCAGTAATAACGCCCGTCTCGTAAGCGACAAAAGGTCGGACGGAGTAAGGGGATGATGTGAGTTATCAGCAGGGGGAGGACTAATCACCCTTCCTTTTTGGGGCTGATGGGCCGGCATCCGCCTACTCGTTGGTGGGCCAAAGGTTGCGTACCTCCGAGTGAGAACTAGTCGTGCGATGGGGACATCGCATTTTGAGTGGGGGGAAGGTGTGCCATCTACCAAAGAAAAAGCGTGCAAAAGAGAAGGGTACCATGAGCGTAAGAATGAATGAGTAATTGACTTTGCGCAGGCTTGAGAAAAAGCCTGGCAAGATGTCCAGAAAAAAAAAATGAATGAGTAATTGACTTTGCGCGAGCTTGAGAAAAGGCCTGGCAAGATGTCCAGAAGAAAAGAATGAATGAGTAATTGACTTTGCGCAGGCTTGAGAAAAGGCCTGGCAAGATGTCCAT